GCACGTGTACAAAAATTCGAAGTCTCAAAAATATGCACAAATGCACACAACGTTTATTGAAACGCCTGTGCACAAAAAATATGTATACTTGCAAAAAAAAAAAAAAAATTAGCACGCAACGTTTAATTTAAACGCACGTGTACTTATTCACAAACTTTATTTACAAAATTCACGACAGAAAGTTAAATAAACATGGCCAAATTTGTTGGGACCTCGTGCTACAACGCTATGTGAGCGCCCGAGCACGACGAGTTTCCGCTAAAATATCGCAAAATGACCGTGAATAATTTAACAAATTTTGGTAAACACTGAATTTACCGCAAAGCCAAAATTGTCGTGCATGTGTAGTATGCAGTCAAAAACAAAACGACGCCAATTGTCGTGAAACCGAGTTGGTTAAGACAATAAACTCATATATCAATATAAATGAGGCTGGCGCCTTACCTTAATCAGGCGACAGCAAGCAACAGCAAACAAGGTAAATGGTAATATCAAAGGGATGAGTCCAGGTATACATCAAATACAAACAAGTATCAAGGTATCAGGTATAAGGAAACAGTGTTCACACTTAGGAATCAGGACCAGGACTGAAGCTTCAGTATTGGTAATACGGGGTATCACGTGACATACCCCGTATATGGATAGACCAGGGTCAGAGGTCATAACATTAGGGAGAATGTAAACATAGCAATTTCACTACATTCCTCCCCGTTTTATTTAACAGGTTTCTATTATAAATACAGATACATAAAATACGTTAAATATACCATTAACATATTTGTAGATAAGAACAATAAATACAATACTCTGCAGTAATTTGATCGGAAAACAATCCAGACCTATAATTTTGCAGAAAATAACATAACATATGACATTCCACATGAATTTAGTCGGAAGATAATCCAGACCTGTAATTCTGCAGGAATAGTCCTCTATATATATATATATATATCATCTAACACTTATAGAGACGACGGCTATTCTTAACGGTTTCCTTCAGTAGGTACTGCACGTTAACTTGTAGTTTTGATGCAACCTCGGCGGCAACGTCTCCAATGAACGCAGGGGTGTTTACAGTTCCTCCTCCTGGTTTCATGTATGGGGAATCTGTTTCCACAAGCAAGCGGCTCATTGGGACGGACTGCAAACCGGCAACTTGATCAGCACTAAAGTTCGTCACAGCACCTGTGAATCCGAAATAGACGTTAGAATAGTTATCCATCCATTCCTTGACTAATTCAGGGTCACCAGTGAAACAGTGAAGATGTATAGGTTGGTCTGGGTCACACGATTTCCTAAGTAGTTGGATGCAGCGTGCGTGTACATCCATCCCAATCCTGTCCGCAGCTATTCCACGCAAGTGAAGGACAAGGACTTTATCCTTACGGGTCAACTTCAGCACTTGGCGGAAAACTTCATCTTGATGTCTCCACAGCTTCACAGGGACAGTTCTGTCAAGTCCGATCTCACCTAATGCCACCACATATGGATTGTCCAACAATTTCTTCATATGGAGGAATCTATCTGACGTCAACTCATCAACATGCTTGGGATGAACTCCAAGAGCTATCCTCCAAGGACCACGCATATCTGCAAGTTTGGGGTGTGTTGATGGTTCACTATAAACAGCTACTCCTCCTGAAAGTGTTACATCAAGGTTAGGACGACGGTCGCTGGAATAAGAGTAAGATAGTAAGTCCTCCACAGATTTCCCCGAAGAAACTTTCCATATGCGGGAACAAGTCCGGTCTAGATGAAAATGACTGTCAAAGGCTTCATATGTGGAAGATGACGCTGGACTACAAATCTCATGGACAATACAAGGGTCACTCTGAGATACTGGTTCTCTGGGAATGTCCACATCAGATCCATAACTGACATCTATACATGTAAGCTCATCTTCCGTTGACGAGTCAACAACCGGCACTTGAGTCTCCTCGGTATCTGGAGTACTAGTAATGTCCCTTGTAACACGTCCAAGTGTACGAAATTCTTCGCGCTGCATGGGCTGCAAAGGTGACAAAAGTACTACCAGACACCTCCAGTGAAAAAGGGCTGCTGGTGAGTTAAGTGGTGATAATGTAAAACCTTCATATGGCTCCAACCATCCTTGATATCTACACAATCTCTGCATATAGATGACAGTGCCAGGATGAAGAGTGGTACCCCGGGTAAGAGCTCCTGAGCGGTTCACATAATCCATAGCAGACAGTAAATCAGCATCATGTCCTAGGACGCTTCGTACCAAAGATTCCAATGCCAAGTACTGCAGCTGGGCCAAAGAGGACTGATCCAAGGAACGCAGTGGTCTTGTGTCGCTGAAAATCTTAGGAAGGTGACTACGCTGGACATGACGCTTGATCTTCCTATCCCTATGTCCACAATCTGGAAATGGGCATTTCTGTAGGTTGTCATTATGTAGAGCTACCGTCACACGAAGATTAGGGTCAAGTCTCGGTCGTTTGGCAGACTGTTCTGTTTCCTGGACTCTGCGTGCAGAAAATCTTCCAGATAATCTAACAGGAATAGTCTTTGGACGTTGAGAATACTTGACGACTGACTCATGACGATCATGATCCGCCGTGTCATGTGATACGGATAATTCCGCCTCTTCATGCACTTCGGAGCACTCCTGATCCGCCGTGTCACGTGCTACGGATAATTCCGCCGCTTCATGCACTTCGGAATCGTTCTCTACACACTCCTCCTCCATCACCAAAGGCTTCTCCATGGTCGAAGATTCAGAAGATTCCATAGCATTCTCTCGCACAACTCCAAGATCCGGGTTGGACAGTAATCTTATGTCAACACACATGGACGAAGAGTTGGCTGACGAAACAGTTGCTGATGGAAGTCTCCTTTTCCTCAGTGGCTTGGATCTGCGAGATAGTGACGGAAGATTATCTTCAACCCACCTCTCCGAGCATAGGATGGTAACAGCTTCATGTCTTGTCGCCTCAATCCCTCTATTATCTCCTATATTCCTGGCCAATCGGTACTGGTCGACAATTACGTCGCAAATGGTCTGGTGAGAAGTTCCATCACTCAACAGGGCTAGGTCGTAAATCAACTTCTTAGGATCTACAAGACTTCTGTTGGCGGTTTTCCTCCTCACAAAGTCGACGTAATGTTCTCCTCTGTTTTGACGAATGGTGGACTTTTCCGATTTCCAGGATCTTTTGTTAGATGACATAATTGAAACAAATATGCTCAATAATATAAGTACAATAATATAAGGGGATATAACATACAAAAAGACAGACAGACAGGGTGATCCAGAAGGACTTTTATATATATAATATATTAAAGTGACATGACCCTGGTCTTAGAAGATGGTCCCCTTCTTCATCAACTGTAATAAAGTTAAATAACATAAGTATACTGTTCTATCAGCGTTGCAAATGCCAGGCATATAACATTATACTGATTTGATCAGAACCATATGTTATCTAATAAACATATATACAATTATACATTTATATTATTGACTCACTGGTTTGTTACTTAGTCACATTTCGGACAAAGGTAGTAAGCTAATTTATCTGCTGCTTCTTTTGTAAGGTTTACGCAAGAACCGTGGTACCACTCACGACACTCGTCACATTGAATCATAAATGAACCCGTATCAGGACCGCGGCAAATACAAAACTGATTTGTTTCAGCCCTAGTATTTGATGGTGTTTTATCTAGAATTTTACGGATCCAATCTGGAACTTTGCGGTCTTTACAAAGTTTAATTCGATCATGATTCATGATTAGAGTTTTCCCGCGAAGCTTGATTTCGTACAAATACGCAGATAATTTTCTTACTACTACTCCAGGCCCTTTCCAAGGAGGGGTTAATTTTCGACACTTACCCTTCACTGTCGCCGTATCAAGAACATAGACTACATCTCCGACTTTATATGATTTTTCTAATACTTTTAGATCATAGTCACGTTTCAAGATACTTTGCGTAGTTTTCAGGGTGTTCCTAGCTGTCTCATGAGCAAGTGTGATAGTCCTCACCAGATTAGCTAGGTATTGGTCCATATCTTGATATTGCGGCCCTCCTGGCAATGGGTAGAGTAAGTCTAAAGGTTGTGCGACTTCACGACCAAGCATAAGCATGTTAGGCGTAAAACCAGTACTACGGTTCACACAGGATCTCAGTGCACTGGCGATTTGTGGTATACTTTCATCCCAGTCCACTGGAGTCTTGGATACAAAACATCTAACAGCATCCATTAAAGTCCTGTTGAACCGCTCGACTTGCCCATTTGCAGATGCTCGATAGGGAGTTGTCCTAGTTTTATGGATGTTAAGTACTTCACAAAGATCCGAAAATAGTTTGTTGTTGAAAATGGTTCCCTGGTCTGTGAATATTTGTATAGGGTAACCAAATCTTGTGAAGAACTCATTTACTGCGGCTCGTGCTGTTACCTCTGTTGTCTGTGATGGCAGGGGAATACATTCGACCCATTTTGTAAATTGGTCTACCATCATAAGGATATATGAATTATTCCTTGGTGTAACAGGCAACGGCCCCAGGAAATCTAGGTGTACTCGTTCCATTGGTTCTCCTGCATGGAATTTGGTCATGCTGCATCTGGCGTGTCTAGATGGTTTTTTATTTCTGTTGCACGTGGCACATGATGCAACATGATATTGTACATCAGATGACATGGAGTACCAATAGAATTTCTCCCTAAGTCGTCCGAATGTCCTAGCTACCCCCTGGTGACCTGCAGCAGGAATGTTATGACACAAGTTCATAACCTCCACTCGCATGTCCCTAGGGAGTACTAGGAGTTTGGAATCGCCTACAACCTTCCAAAGTACCTTATGATCATCTAGTGTGAAGAGTTCCTTGTTAATCCAGTAAAATTTGGCTGCTTTCGACAGTGCGAATAATTCGTTTCCTGGCTCTTCTTCAGACTCCAGCCAATTAATGATGGGACTTAAGTCTTCATCCTCATGCTGAGCCTCTTTGATTTCATCCCAGGAATGACTCTGCAGCCATCTTGTTCAGCTAGATAAACCAACTCTTTACACCAATATTGAATTTTTAATATATGCAGTAGTTTTTAGTAATATAAAACATATGTGTTAAACCACAGTTGAGACAACATAACAATTGTTTAAAAAGTTAAATAAGGATTTTCCTTAAAAACTTCAGTGATGTATTTTCTCCATTTATTTTCTTCTGACTTTTACTGCAGCTGCAGCCAACAGAACCTTGTGGAAACAACTGGAATAGACAAGCTTGATGAACCTCTTTTAAGATAGGAAAACAACAAATACTTCGAAAAGAACTTAGTGAAATAAATCTTGAGGAGGCAATGCCTTTATGAATCTTGAGGCAAACTTGATGGACAATGATTTTCCAATATGTGAAAACACCAGCTACACCCAAAAGGAATTGGTGGAAAGATGGGAAAACAGCAAATACTTCTAAAGAGACTTAGTGAAATAAATCTTGAGGAGGCAATGCCTTTATGAATCTTGAGGCAAACTTGATGGACAATGATTTTCCAATATGTGAAAACACCAGCTACACCCAAAAGGAATTGGTGGAAAGATGGGAAAACAGCAAATACTTCTAAAGAGACTTAGTGAAATAAATCTTGAGGAGGCAATGCCTTTATGAATCTTGAGGCAAACTTGATGGACAATGATTTTCCAATTTGTGAAAACACCAGCTACACCTTAAGTAATTGGTGGAAAGATGGGAAAACAGCAAATACTTCTAAAAAGACTTAGTGAAATAAATCTTGAGGAAAACTTGATGGACAATGATTTTCCAATATGTGAAAACACCAGCTACACCCAAAAGGAATTGGTGGAAACAATAAACACAGACAAGCTTGATGGACAATGATCTTTAAAATGTGGAAACAGCAGATGTCCCTAACAAGACTTGGTGGAAACACCTGGAGGACACTTTATGCCTGATGGATGTGGACTTTTCCACCAAGACATACCACAGAGGATAGCTGATACTGATCAGGTATATGACATTATCATATTCCAAATCATCTTATTTTTTACATTAAGCAAGGTCTAGTTAACTAGTAGACCAAAGTTTTAGTCCAGGACTCTTTTTTTGTAATCGGCAATATATATAGCTGGCTTTTGTAATGGTGTTCAGCCACATATGCTGACTCTTAATTCATACCAATAATACCCGAGAATGATACATCTGATATAATTTATGCTGTGAAATTCTAATTAAATTTCACATTTTCTGTTGTTGTTGCATGCTACAGTGGTATTTAAGAGAACCTGCTATAGAGTAGCATAGTATAAAGGAGTTGATCCTACCGTTGTGGGTTCGAATCCCACTGTGGGACAAGAAGACTGGTCTTTCACTGAGATCGTATAAACTGTGGTGCCATGTTGCAGTAGGTGCAAAAAAAATCCCTCACTGCTCTATAGCCTTAATACCAAGTATAGGTCTACATTTGTAGCCCTCCCCTGAAAAATGTTGCATTGCTATATGAGTGAAAATTTCTCAAGAGGGGCTGTCTGCTCGCAGAAAATTTATTCTTGTGTATATTTGTATTATTAATGTTTATATACAACAGAAACCACAGCTAGTGAAAATGTTGTTTCACTAATTAATACCAAATAGCTAAGTCACTAAACTAAGGTGTTGTGAAAATATGGTGATCTACAGTACTGTATTGATTTCTACTTTTTCCTAGCCTCAGAGCTCAGATGAGCAATGTAGCATATAGGTCTCTTCTTAATTTTATTTTATTCAAACCTGACAATTACTCTTGCCTATTGTTCATTTACAGAAAATCAAAGGAACTTTTAGAAGGAACATCCTTGAGATCATATGTGTGGATGAAGAAGCAGGGCTTAATTAATGCAGGATTAATCCACATCTTCAAAGCACTGATGTAAATCCATTTTAGTAACGATGTTTTTTTTCAAAGACTATTTTAAAAATATGAATTTTTGTAAAGGGTGTCCGAAATTATGTCAGGGTATGGGGTCGCCCATTCGGACACATGGGTTCTCTACGGGTACTCCGTCTTCCTCCCACACTGACCCCCCGCTTTTCTCTTTCTTCTTCATTAGCTATATATTCATATTGTTAAGATGAAGTAGTTGAAGGTTAGTTGTAAGTAGGCTTTATCAATACCCTGGGGCATTACTGGTTGGAACTTAAGTTCCTTCGCCGCTACAGTTGCCAGGCTGGCTCGGGGAGGAGAAGCTGAAAGGGACTAGTTGGAGACTGCTTTGTCTTTAATTATCTTTTTATTGTAATGCCAATGAGATAATGGTTCATTATTGTAATTGTTTTGATGAAGTTTGATATGTTCCAGATGTAGTGATTGTTAAATATGACATAAGTATTCATAGAATGTGTAAATTCTGTCGGCTGTTGTAGAAAGAATAATTTGT